GGCGGAGTTGGCTCTAGAATACCATTGATTTGAGTCTTGGCCTTGGTATTTACTAGTTATGTGACTTTGGACAAGTAAGCTCACCTCTTTGAACATCAGTTCCCTCATGTGCAAAAAGGGGGATATTATATCTGGAGTGACCACTTCACTGTGCTGTGAGGAAAACAATGTATAAATCTTAAAGTGCTATAAAAGTCTGTGGTATTTTTGTCCATTTGTTTGTATTAGGGTGGCTTTGGCTGGTTATGTATGCAGAAGCTTTCAGCTCTTTCAATCTTGCCCCTCATAGTTTATATGTGGCACTTTTATATATATACATACATACACACACACATATACATACACACACACATATACATACACACACACATATACATACACATATACATATACATATACATATACATATACATATACATATACATATACATATACATATACATATACATATATATATTCAAATAAAATTTATTTTTACCTTTGTTTTTTACATCACAATTGTTTGCAAATACTCACTGCCTCCCTGGAACATTCCCTTTTAACAAAGAAAAATAATTGAGAAGAAAAAGCCCCAGTAAGTGGCTGTATTGGACACCATTCTAATCTAATTGTCCTCTACCTCTTGGTCATGAGGAAGGAAGTTTTCCTTACCATTTTTTTTTCTCTGGGACCATTACTTGTCTTTCAAGTGCTCAGACTTCAGCTGGGAGAGAAGTCTTACCTAAACAAGGGTTTGAGATAATCATCAAAGATAAAATGGACAATTTTGATTGAACAAAATTGAAAAGCTTCTGTGTAGACGAATTAAATGTAGTTAGAATTACAAGGAGAATAATTAATTGGGAAAAATTTCCATAGAAATTTTCTCTGGTAAAGATCATTAATATCCAAGTTATATTAAGCATTGATACAAATATATTGGAACAAGAGCTATTCATCAGTACATAAGTAGTCAAAGGATATGAACGTGAAGTTCTCCAATGAAGAAATGCAAGCTATTAACAACCATAGGAAAAAATACTCCAAATCACTAGTAGCTAGAGAAATGCAAATTATGACAGCTCTTAAGTTCCATTTCCTACCCCATCAAATTTGCAAAGATAACAAAAGAGAAAAATAGCAATTATTAAAGGGGCTGTGGCAGGATAGGCACTCTAATGCACTGTTGGTAGAATTGAGAGTTGGTTTAATAATTCTGGAAAATGATTTGAAACTATGCCTTCAAATCACTAAACTGTACAGACAATGTGACCCAATGAAACTCTTAGGTACATATTCCAAAAAGGCTTCCTTTTAGCTATGTTCTCATTTACTTTGTTATAGTCATTATTTATATTGTTATTTTGATTCTGCTTACTTCATTCTGCATGAACTTACAGAAGCCTTGTCACATTTCTCTAAATTCTTCATGTTTTATTATATAACACAGCTTTTTTTCCTAGCTATTCTCCAATTGATAGGCATTCACTTTATTTCCAGGTCTTTTTTTTTTAATATAATAACAAGTACTGCTCTGAACACTGGTTTATGGTGGACCCCTGTTTCTGTTTTTGACCTTCCTGGCTTTTTAAGTCCCATAGCAAGATTACTGGGTAAAGAGGTATGGGCAGTTCAGTCAATTTTCTTTCTTTCTTTTTTTTTTAACCAATTAATATTAAGCATTTGCCTGCCTTTCTCTATCCATTGGGCAGGGTGAGGGATACGGAGAAAGAAATAAGGAAGTCTTGTATCACATAAGCACATTTAAGAAAAATAAATCCCCATATTGGTCACATACAAAAATGTGTACATTATGTTCAATATATCAATTTTCCAGACATTCCCCAATTTATGGGCACCTGCTTAGTTTCAGTCCTTACATGATTCCAAATTTGTATCCAGAATGGTGGGACTAATTCACAGTTCCGCCAGCAATATATCAATGTTTGTCTTCTCATAGCTACTCCAACATGAACTGACCTTCTTTTTTTGTTCATCTTTTCTAAATTCCAAAATATAAAATGGAACTACAATTGTTTTAATTTGCATTTATTTTGCTATTAGTGATTTTGATCACACTTTCATATATCACTTATTTACAGTTTTTTTGAAAATAATTTTTTTTCCAAATTTTTTGAGCATATGTCTATTGGGGAATGGAACTTGACTTATACTTTTGAGTTATTTTTGAAATATTTCTGTCTCCTTATCACTGTTTTAGTAATTACTTTATGAATGCATTTCCCACATAAAAGAAAGAGTACTTGGATTTTCTAAGCCTTGATAATGAATGATAAAATGCATGAACCTGATTTCTGTCCTCTTGAGCCCTTCAACATAGGAGGACTGAGAACAAAAAGGAAGTGTCTGGATGTCTCTGTATCTATTTATCTATATAAGATATTACATAGAGTTCATGTGGAATGGGAAAATCATAAACTATATTTTCTTATCTGCCTAATTACCAAAAAACTGAGGGCAGTAAAAAGTGACAGATGGGGAGAGGAAAACAAAAAGAATAGTGGCTTGAGTATTCAATTTATTCCTGAAATCCAGATATTTACTTGATATATCAATTGTTCACGTGTATTTCACCCCTTTCCTTTTCTCCCTACTTCCTTCTCCTGTTTCTGAATACCAAAGTACTTTCCCTGTTTGCTGGGTAATGCCCCTGAAAATCTAATTATTTCATTTCTGTCTTTTAAAAAAGTGTAAGATGGCACCCCACTCCTCAAAGTTGAGGCTTGAGAGGACAGAAATCAGAGCTATGTGTTTTATCATTTGTTATCAAGAAACAGAAGGAGACAGAAGAAACAGAAGGTGAAGACACATTTTAAGAGAAAAATAGACAGGGTTTGGTTATGAAAAAGAGGGATGAGCAAAAATGTTACTGAGTTTTGAGCTTACATGATTGCAATATTGGTGAAAAATTTGACAAAGTAACAGGGAAGTTGGAGTGATGTGGGGAGACTGCTTTGGGTGGAAGTTTGGATCTGTTGAATGTGAGGTGAAATATCGAAGACAAGTCCAAGAGATGTCCAGAAAGAAGTTGGATACGAAGACTTGTGACTCAGGGAAGAAGAGAGGACTTGGAAACAATTAGAATAGAGGTGATCATTGAAACCATGAGCCTGGACAGGATCTCTGAATTTTGAAATGAAAGGCAAAAGGCCAAGGGCTGAACCTCTAGGAATGCTCATAGTTAGGGGGAGAAGAAGAAAGTAGGAAAAGGAGCCAAGGAGCCAAGAAGCAGTATATAGAGAAGCGGGGACACCAGAATCATTTAATGTCACAGAAACCAAGAATGGAGAGTTTCAAGAAAAGGGGTGACCAAGAGTGTCTAATGCAACAAAGAAGGTCAAGGGAAAAAAGTCATTGGATATGGTGATTAGGATATCACCAGTCAGGTTTCATAGTTTCAGCAGAGTGAAAGAATAGAAATTGGACAGTAGAAGGTTGAGGGTTAAGAAAGTGGAGAAGAAATTAATTCAACAAGCATTTATTAAACAGATGCTATTGCCAGGAACTGTGCTAGACTTTCTTTGTGTAAAGAAAAAAATGAAATAGTCTCTACCCTCAAGGAATTTATGTTCTAGTGGAAGAAACAATGTATGTACAGATAAGTAAATATAAAGTATTTAATAAAAGTAAATGCAGTCATTTAAGGGTGAATGGAGTGCTAATAACTGGGGGTCATCGGAACAGCTTCTTGTAGGCTGTGGTGTTTGAGCTGAGCTTTGATAAGAGCTGGTGTCTTCATGAAGACAAAGAAGTGAGGAGGGAAGCTTGTATTCCAGGTATGAGGCATATGTAAAAACAAACAAGCATTTAGGACCATAGATACAGAGCTAGAAAGGACCTTAAAGGCCATGGAATCCAGCCTTTCCACTTGATAGACAGGAAAAATGAAGCTCCTAGAGGCTAGATCACTTGCTCAGGTCACACAGATAATTATATCAGAGGCAGTATTTAAACCTAGGTTTGATGATGCCAAAGTCAATGGTCAGTCAGTCAGTCAGTCAGTCAGTCAGTAAACATTTATTAAGCAGCTCCTTTGTACCAGGCACCATACTTACCCCTGAGGATACAAAGAAGGGTGAAAGACAGGCCCTGTCCTCGAGGAGCTCACTGTCTATTGTGTATTGCAGGAGACAATATGAAAGGCAAGTATGTATAAATATACAATATACAGGACAAATTGGGGATAATCTAAGGCACTAGAATTAAGGATAATCAGAATGGGCTTCCCATAGAGGGAGTGATTTTAGCTAGGACTTGAAAGAAGCCATAGAGGACAGGAAGCAGAGATGAGGAGGTAGAATATTCCAAACATGGAGGACAGCCAGTGAAAATGTCCAGAGCTGGTAGTGTTTTTGTAAGGAACAGCAAGGAGGCCAGTGGATTACAAGGTTCAGGGAAGAGATGGAGGAAGGTAATGTGTAAGAAGACTAGAAAGCTAAGAGAGGGACAGATTATAAAGGGCTTTGAATGTCAAACAGAGGAGTATATGTTCTGTACCACGCTGCTCTATTTATCAACAATGAGAAATGAAATCTTAAAAATATCAAATTGGCAAAAATTCAGATTTTATGTTGCATGATACAATCCCTCACAGGATAGTTTTCATGAGATTAACTACTCACATATGAAGTGTCAAGTGGGTGTCAGGAAATCCCCCATCCCATCTACCACATAAATTGTTGGAAAAGGAATTTGACCATGACTACTTGCTTCTGCCCTTGTAGATTGTAAAGGTCACAAAACTATTATGATTTTTCAATAGCATCAGCGAAATCTGAGTTCCTAAAGGGAGAACCTGCTGTACTTTTTTTTAATGGGTAAGCTGATTGAAGAAATTGAAATTGTACAGTTTTGAGTCTCAGTAAATGTCTCCCATAAGAAAGAGGGCATTTCATCTTTCTCTAGTTCCATCTCTGTAAGCTATGCACTCAAACAATGATTCCTTGTGTTCTGAATTCTTTTAGGCCCACACAGACTACTGAGCTGAATGTCATTAGAACCTCTAGAACTCACATACTTTTCAGTGCCCTCTTTCTCCTACACAGTCACATGCTGACTTTAAAAACATTGGCACACTTATATAGCAGCATTCGCTACAGCATGGATAACACATCAGAGCCCAATACACCCAGATGACCAGTCTCCGGGGTTTCCTTAAAACAGAACAGGTAATGAGATTCATTATGCTGGTGGGGAATACACTTCGAAAAGGTTGCAAGGTTATTTTTGAAATGTTTCCATCAGAAATTTTCTTTTTTTCAGGCTTTTGTGATGATGAATTAAATAGTACTGTACTCTTTAGAACCCAAAGACTCTGAATAGTATTTAATGAAGACTGCCTATATTTAGAACACACTACTGATTATAGCAAAAGGCAGCCCAGAAGGGGACAGACAGGTTTGTCTATTACATATGGCCTTGTTGATCAGTAAAAATTCAAACCAGAGATCAATGATTGACAAGATAAAAAAACACAAGTTTAAAAGCAGGAAAAACCTTAGACTATATAAGATCTGTTATTTCATTCAGTGCGGGGAGCTCTGAGTGTGGTAATTATCTTCGTCAATGCTGATCTCAACTGGGGTATGGCTTAGTAACTAAATTCTAGGGTGCTTCCTGAGGCATATAGAGTTTTAGTGACTTTTCCAGCATCAAAAATAGCTATCATTAGAAAATAGTTGTTTTTCTATATAAGACAAAATTATTGTTGTCTTTCAGTAGTTTTCAATTGTCCAACTCTTCGTGACCCCGTTTGGGGCTTTCTTGGCAAAGATTCTGGAGTGGTTTGCCATTTCCTTCTCCAGCTCATTTTACAGTTGAGGAAACTGAGACAAATGCAGTTAAATGAATTGTCCGGGGTCACATAGCTAGTAAGTGTCTGAGGCCAGATTTGAATTCAGGAAGATGAGTCTTCCTGACTCAGGTCTGGTACTCTATCCACTGCACCACCTAACTGCCCACAGGACAAAATGCTTTGATTTAAAAAGAAAATATTGATACCTATCATTTTCATTTAAAAAATAAAGTGGTAACATTTTTATGTATTAAGGAAAAGTGGATAGACTGAGAATTGGGATGACTTGGGCTCATATCCCAACTTTGACATTTACAAGCTGCTATTTGATGGAAAAATCACTTAATCTTTCTGAATCTTGCTTTGCTTTATTTTAAAATGAGGGCAATACTACCTATAATACTTACCTCATGTACATAAAACTCTTTTTATATTTTTAAAGTGACACATAAATGACAATTTTTGTTATATTATTATTATTTTATTGCTATGGTGTCATTGAAATGTTATTTTTGTTTTTTAAAATACTCAGAATTTTTTTTTAAATTGCTAATTGAGTTTGGAAAAATAGTTTTATTATTTGGAGAATTGGAGATTTGGAGAATATCAGAACTTTATGAAATAGAGACAAGCTTTAATTTTTAATAACTTCCTCACTTAATCTTTTCGTTGGGCAAGAGTCTGGACCTGTGGTTTCATAGGTGTAGGAAAGTCTTAGAGAAGGAAACTCTCTCCAGGGATGTAGATAGGCAGTTTATAAGTTCTGCAAATTATAGTCCTAGAGAGATACAAGGATACTAAAAGATTAGGTGACTTGCCCAGAGTCATACATTCATGAAGTTCTTGGGGGTAATAGTTGAATTCAAGTCTTCCAGACTCAGGCTATACCCTTTAGTTAGTAGGGCACATTGCATTTCAAAATTAAAATCTATAGCTGCCTTGAACTAGGTCAAGAAAGGAACTTTTTTTCAGGTGTGCTAGTTCCCTTTCACTTCACTGTCTTTTTAAAAGCATTATTAAATGAGGTTAATTTAGTATATTAATTGAATATTTCTTCCCTTTCATGTATTTAGACTCCTATCCCCATACATGCCACTATCAGAAGAAAATAGGCAAAAATATTTTCCTTGAATAATTTTCCATCCAACTTTTTAAAATTTCCCACTAGAAAACAGCAAACATGTCTGACCTCAGAAGCTTCAACAAGTACAATTTTCTTGGTCCTCCCAAAAGGCTGGTAAGTAGACAGCAATGGGTAGAGGTTACAGAGAGACAAATATGATGTTAAAAGCTTCCTAACAGCTCTCTTGATTGGAATAGGCTGATTCTGCAGTTTTTGGGTTCCCTCTTCCCTGGAGGTCTTTGACCTTAAGTTAAATGGCCACTCATCAAGGATGCTGAATGTTGAGGGTTTTTTGTTAAGGTATGGGTTGGATTACATGGCCATTGAAGTGTATTTGAATTCAGAAGGTCTATAAAAAAACATAGGATAAATTTAAAGAGCTGTTAACTACTTATTACTATTTAGGATAAGAGGAGGAAATTAGCACTCATTCCTTTACCCTTCTTTCATACTTTTTCTTGCCCTATCTTCTTACAAAATCTATCTCTTTTCCATTTGCTCAGGGATAAGTGTGCCAGGTTATTGGCCCTCTCAATGCATTTCCATCCCTGTATATAGAGGAGAACCTCAAGTACTTATTTGGAAAAGTACTTGAACCCCACACCAGGAACTCAAAAGGAAATGATACAAGTAAACTCTATTTTTTCAATCACTTGCTGCTCTTCTCTCTCAATACCGCCTTCACAAATATGCATGCAGTCTTACTTAAAGCAATTTTCTCTCAGCTGCGAGGAGCTGCTGAAAAGGGAGGAAATGGTAGCTCTCAGTTTCAATTAACTTTGCCACTGACCACTGACTGTGTTATGACGGGTAGAGTCAGTGTTCTTTAGAAAATGGACGTGAGACTCTCAAAGATTAGTGAAGGTCACTGAGAAACCAGTTGCAGCCTATAAACCAGGGACCTAATGCTTTTAAAACTGACCTTGTGCTATTAATTTAATGTGAAAATATTTGGGGGCAGGATAGTGACTTCAATGAAATGTGGAAGATGTGGCTTGTTTAATTAAATACAATAAACAAATCAAAATTTGGCTTTCTCACAAAATAAATCAGGGATTTAAAAAAATATACTCAAAAGGTATCCCTCATATAATAGCCTCTCTATTCCCTAGTTGCTAAAGGAAAATAATACTTCCAATTTATTAATTTTGCTATGATCTTTTGTGGTTCATAGTGCTTATGAAATTCTTTGACATATTTAAAGATAGCAACCATACTTATCCTCAATTTTGATTCTTGTGAGGTTGTAGCCTTCCATGATACACAACATCACCAGGAGAATAAGGATACCCACTAGACGTGTGATTTCGTTCATATGGAAACTCCCAGGTGAGGAAACTCCTTTTGTCAGTGCAGGTCAGCTCATTCCTTGCAGCTAATGGTCTTAGAGAGTTGCCTTGAAATAAACTGACTTTACTCAGGGGCACACAACCAGCAAATATTTGAGGCCAGGTCCCTAGCACTGTAGCCACTGTACCACCTAGAGATGGAGGGACATGATCAAAAATCTCATAGGTTAAGAAAGTGTGGATGGGTTGAAATCTCTAGCAGAGGAATGAATACCTCCCTTCCTCACCCCACACCATAAGATTATAGATTAAAAAAAATGAGGGGCAGCTGGGTGGCACAGTGGATAAAGCTCTGGCCTTGGAGTCAGGAGGACCTGAGTTCAAATCTGGCCTCAGATACTTGACACTTAGTAGCTATGTGACCCTAGGCAAGTCATTTAACCCCAACTGCCTCACCAAAGAAAGCAAAAAAAAAAAAGATTAGGGGCAGCTAGGTGGCGCAGTGGATAGAGCACTGGCCCTGAAGTCAGGAGTACCTGAGTTCAAATCCAGCCTCAGACCAAACACTTGACACTTACTAGCTGTGTGACCCTGGGCAAGTCACTTAAACCCAATTGCCTCAAAAAAAAAATGAAGAAATAACCTAATTCAATAAATGTTTATCAAGTGATCTATATACAAGCCATCATGGTAGTCCTATAAATATTATCTTTTTTTACTACTAACAAAATATTTCTATTCTTTTTGATGGTTTTATATTCTTCTGTGATTCTTGCTCTATAAGATAACAGTTCTCTGGTTCTAGTGCTAGACATGGCACAAGCAGAAAAAAATATGGTTAAAAATAACTCATTTCTGACTGGGGAAGGTTGAGGAGCATGTGTGTGTGTGTGTGTGTGTGTGTGTGTGTGTGTGTGTGTGTGTGTGTGTGTGTGTATAAAACTATATTATGAGAACAAATGCTGGATAGACACAAGAATCTCTGAGTAATAGTGTTGGGTCTTTTTTTTTCCTACTTAGGAACCATACTAAAAACACAATATTTACTGACTAAATTGGAAAAACTTTTAAAATACTATTTAGGTTATTCTTCTCTAAGAGCAATTAATTTAGACTTTCTGATTTCTGATCTCTTCTCTGTGTACCCTTTTTTTAGAGAAACCTCAAAAGAATAAATCAGTTTGTTGATTGAGTGATGAGTCTGGGGTACTCACTGTGATTGCTTAAAGGTGGAAGGAATTGCAAATAAACCTAATGGAGGATGCCATCATTCAACTTATGCTCTGCTTCCCCTCCCAAAGCCTCCTTTGTACCTTGATCTTTCTCCTAGCATTTAGAATTGTTCACTAGACACTTAGTAATGCTACTTGTATTACTATCTCTCTTACTATGTCCAAGGTGGAACTACAAATTAATGGAACTTTCTTTGTGTGGCTTTCTGTTCTATAATTGGATTTATCCTGTCTTTCCCAAACAGAAGATCCTTGATGGCCCTGTCATTTTCCCAATCATCATGAAAATTTTCTTAAATATTACACTAGGTGCCCAGATTCATTCTATGACAGATTTTGCATCAGTCTCTTCCTTCCTCATGGACCCAATGCCATGTGTGTGGGTATTTAGAAGGAAGACATTTTCATTTTGAGTAAAAATTGGGCAGGGCCTGTTCTTATTTCATCAATAGATAACCCAAGACCAAAGTGAAACAGGACAAAGCTACTCAGAATAAGCCACAGTTTGACTCTGCAAATTATGTTAGAGCTATGCATTTCTGAAATACCAGTGTATGTGAAAATCTATTACTATCTTTAGAGTATCTTCAATAAAACACTCCTGGGTTGGTTTGCTGTGTTCATGCCCAGCTTTTTACAGGCATTTTTCTTCCTTTTACTGCTTTTCCCTCCTTGTTTAATGAAGTAATACTTATTGTAATCTTCCACCATCCTTCTTTGTAATATTTTCAAATGAACTCCTACTTTAAATTGGTGTTGTTCTTGGCTGCTATGCTTTTTTGATGTTAAGTGCTTGCTGTCTGTGGAAATTTGGGGACTCTTTTGACCTCCTCGTTGTGGTCATTATTTTGCATTAGCTAAGCTTCTCCAAGAAATTGTGCTAATCAGATTCAATGCCATTGCTTATATCCACTCCTTTTTCTTAGTTAACAATCCGTTTAAATAATTCAGGTTTGACTAGAATACTTATAATTGTGTCTAGTGCCTTCTTTATCCCCCCACCCCAGGTTTGGGGTTATTTTTGACCTTTGACCTAACCATTTGTTACGTATAGCTCATTTTGAAACAACCAAATATACAACCAAGTTTTTTCTGTATGTTATACTAAGTTTCTTTTTTTCTTTCTTTCTTGAGTGATGATGGTTGGTGTACCTTAAAAAATATTCATAATATAGAGCAATGAGATTTCTGAGCAATCTGTAATACTTGGCTTCTTTAGTTTCTTAGTGTGCAAACAATATTTTCCAAACAATTTCCCAACACCTTCCCTGTGCCCACTTTTACATTGAAGTCACTATATGCCAAAGAATAATTTGACTTAATTTGTAAGATCTCGTCACTTCTTTGAAGAATTTCTTCATCTTCTGCAGTGGATGTTGGCACCTAACTGCTATCACCTTTATGAATGACTCTTTGTTTATCTTTATCCTAGGTTTTAAAATTACTATTTGCTTAGGAAAAGTACTTCTGTGAGTTTCAGTTCCTCATCCATAGGATGAAGGGTTTGACTGAACTCAATGACCTCTAAGGTTCCTTATAACTTGAAATCTATCATCCTCATATTTCTTACTGCTTTTGAGGTCACTATGAAACTTTACCAGCTCCTTAAAAAGCCTTCTTCCAATAATGCTTCCTCTCACTGGTCAATGGGAAAAATATTTTTATATTTCCAGTGCCAGGAATGATATTTTATGAATAACCTAAAAAATATGATCGTGTCATATTTTGCCCTCATTTCTCACCCCTACCACATTCACTGTAGACACAGAAAAGTCCTAGTGCTACACAGAATTGAGAAAAGTTTTATATTTTTATCTGTTTTGTTGGCCACCATGGCCACAGACTTTATCACATAATGGCCAGCCAGCTGATGATAAGTCTCTCTGTACTTTGACAGATTCTTAGGAAATATACAATATCTATTACCAGGACTTTAATTGAAGACTTGTACTCTATTGACATAGCTTTCAAAAAAGTAGGGTGACCTTCATTGCTTTGATGAGGCATTAAAGTAGGACTTTTGTGGATTGATTTGCCAACATTTCTCTAATGAGTTTTCCTTATTGTTAATGAAGGGATCACTAGGTGTGGGAGGGGGTCACTGAGGCCAGGAAATGGGGACGGGGAAGGGAATAAGCATTTATATAGCATCTACTGTGTACCAGGCACTGTACTAAGTGCTTTCACAAGTACTATCTTATCTGATCCTCACAACAGCCCTGGGAAGCAGGTGTTATTATTATCCCCATTTTACAGTTAAGGAAATTGAAGCAAACAGAGGTTAAATTACTTTTCCAAGGTCAAACAGTTAGTTAAGTGTCTGAGGCTGGATTTGAACTTAGGTCTTCCTGACTCCAGGACAAACACTCTATCTATTGTACCACCAGCTGCCTCTAGTGTGATAGATGTGAGTATTCTATCTTAAAAATGTTTTATAGACAAGAAAAAAGATGGATGTAAGCATGTACCTTCAACTATTGGAGGTACAGGTTTTAAAATGTTAAGAATAAGGAGTGGTAGGATCCCATAGACTAAAATTCCATAGGGAAGGTTAGCCCGGGAGAAATAGAAATTACTCAAGAATGAAATTCTG